GTTCCATGGAAGCTTAGTGAAGTTCCTTGAGGTTCGGCCTCTCTTCTGAATCGGAAGCCACCGTTTACGCCAACTGAAGGAGAGAGTCGACCTCGCGGGCCTTGTTGAAATTCGGTCTGGCCTCTGATGAAACCGTTTTTGCCAAAGTTTCTCTCAGCCTGGATGCCGAAGTGCGGCTGCACTCGTTGTCCAGGCACTTTACCTAGTCCTCCATAAACGTCCGCAGTTGTGCGGCCGTTGTTAAAGACATTGGCATTGGCATTGAGATCCCAACTTGGTTGACGCTGCGGACCACTCAGAGGCTGCGTCCCTTGAAACGTTATCGAACCTCTTTTTGGCTCCTGAAGCTGGAAGTTGGCTTGACGACGATGAAGTTCCTAGAAGAAAAAAAATCAATATTCTTGAAAATATAATTCTTTTGTATGTATAGGTATGTGTGTATATGTGTGTGCATATATAAAGTCCGATTTATTTATCTGGTTAAGTTATACAGAAGTATATATAGGTGACGAAAATTATTCAAGAGTGTCTCACAAAGATACTTTTCAAAGCAAGAAATTCCGATTTAATGACAATTTCCAAGTGCGACAAGTGTCTTTGTGAGTCACGCGAAATGTAAAGTAATTACGGTGCAACACACGCTATAATGAATGCACAGTCACGTATCATCAATTTGTCACGCTAAGTGTCAGGCGAGCCAATATTTAATGCTTAGAGGAAGACTATTTATTCATATATATAGTTATTTAAAACTTATTCTGAATATGATGTCTTCAAATATTTAAGTAGCTCAATATAAATTAAGAAAATAGAGTTTCTTTAACTATCAACTCGTGTTTAAAGTAAACTTATTTTCGGTTTACTTGAATAGTAAATTACTTATTTAAATAATAACAACTACTTACATGTGATGGAAGAACTGGATCGGTTGATCGCGGCGGCAATGTTTCCTTTGACAAGCTAGCGCTCGTGTAGAGAACAGCGCACGACAAGGCCAACACAAAAACTAGCAGCTTCATGATGACTAACTATTCCTTTGTGAAAGTAAAGAAATGTTTTCGCTTGAAGCGTGAAACAACTTCTGATGCCTGTTCGCTTTGCATCGGTTGCTTATATACGAATTTCAGAACCCCGGGGATGTACTCAATTTTTCCTCAATAGTCCCGTTGCATCACTTATCGTTCTGGGTAATACCCAGTAGCACATTTAGTGAGCGCGCCTGTGAGTTGAGCTCACGCGACATTCTCTCCGGGGAACCCTCGCGCAGTAAATAACGCCTTTCGCTATCTAGACGTATTTTCCTTAATGTTTTGAACTGCAGTGGTCATACATACTTAAATCGCACTTGCGTTTCTAATGATATGACTAATGATCTTTTTGTTTAATTTATTTCGACCATATACGAGCAGATTAAATGCAACGTGTAGTTATACAAATTATTTAATTAATTTTTTTACTTAGATAATGAATATAACAGTAGTAACAAATTTAGATAAATTATTATTACTGAAAATATTTATTAAGATGAGCAAAATGTATTTATATGCTTTCGCACTTATGTCTTGAAAAATATTTTTAAAATATCGATTTATCCCATTTTTTATTTGATGAGATTTATACTTTCACTGACTTATACTCTTTATAACATTACTATCAAAATTTTTAGAATAGGGAACAGCACCTATTTCGGAACACTTTAATTTTTCTCATGACAATGCTCTTTGTCACCAACATCAAAATTTGACATTACGTGACGGTTAACATGAGAAAAATTAAAGTGTTCCGAAATAGGTGCTGTTTCGAAATAGGAATTCGCTTACTCTAAAATGCTAAAATCTAAAAGCAAGAGTTATTTTCCACATTTTATGTCTTGGATCACTTTTGATACAAAGATGTAAATTGCATACATGCTTTCAAATACCTGGAACAGTTCGATATACAAGGCAAATAATATCATAAATGCAAAACCATGTAAATACACGCTTATGTACGCATATTATCGTAAGTGAGATAACGATGAGAAAAGTAATATAGCGATAATCGAAGCGGAGAGGTCATAAAAGTATCACGACTACCGAGAACCGGGAATCCCTCATTTTGTCTCGCGAAGGCATTGAATGCAGCAGTTGTTGCTTCTGCGAGGTAAAAATTATAAAAATGAAGAGACGCGGAGATCCCGCGGCAGTGACGTAGATTTAAAGATATGAAGCCTTATTTAAAGCGCTCAGCCTCCTTTCGACACAGTCACATCTGCGCTTAGTGGGAGCGACTACGTTGCTCTCGCTTATAATCTCTTCTCTTCCTTCTTCAATTGATAATCAAGATGAAGCTACTCGCTCTCGTTTTGGTCTTATCTTGCGTCGTTGCGTACACAACCGCCAGAAAAAGAGGACAACACTGGCCCACCAATACCAAAATATTCGTAAATATTTTTTAAATTACATAATTTAATTAATAATTTTCTCTCCGTTCTTTTCTCGGTTGTGATTTCTTGCTAATTGTATTATGTGCATTTCACAATATTTATAATTAGATATATATTCTTCCTAATTTACATGCGTTCTATATAAATTCTGTCATTGTTCAAAATTTATAGAAAGATAATTGTTTGACACATTTAAAAATATTTTATGACAAGTTTAGAAGCACCATAGGAAACACACATTTAGTTTTATATAAATATAGTTTTATAATTATATTTTTATAAACATTTTATTATAAATATTATTTAGACGACACCATATCGGTTTCGTCGCGAGGCCGATCCTCAGGGCTCGATCGTTGCAAACTTAAAGAATACTCCGCAATTGCCCTTCGACGACAACGAAAATCTTCGACTTGTTCTTTTCGACAACGATTCCACCGTCGATCTCGGTGAAGATGGCAAGGAGATTCCCGGGCCTCAATCGCAACCTAATACCTTATCGAACAATTTGCACCTGATAGACGAGAACGATTACTTCAGCTCCTACACTTTCCAGCCGGGCACGTACCGTAGTTTCCCCCGGAACTTCGAAACCGGCGGCAGATATCGCTGGAGAAGGGAAGCGGGCGGACACGTGGAGCCGCGCCTCCGTTTTGATGCTGAAACACAAAGGGGGAATAGTTTCTTCACTGATTTCGCGGATCTTCAGCGACGTGCAAACGGTCATGGAGTAGAGCCCACGATAGGCGCGACCGCTGGCATCCGTTTCAGGCGGGAAGCCGATCAAATTAACCCCTTGGCTGTTAGGCGAGAAAAGAGGTCGTGGCTCTCAAAAAAAGTTAAAAAACTTGTAAACAAAAAAAATTATACAAGACTGGAAAAACTTGCGAAAAAGAAACTGTTTAACGAATAGCTGTTAATACGCGGTAAACCGATTTGGTCACTGGTGAATTATCGGGTGAATTATATGGTCGGAATTATCGAGATCGGAAGAAATAATTAAGATGACGTAGAGCGCGAAACTGAGTTAGTTTTCTGAGCTTTATTTCATATAATAGATACACGAAAACTGTTGGCTTCGACCGAAAACGTCGATCGCTTCTTAAGCTGGAGAGGCGAGCGAGGTGAATGTGAATAAGTACGTGTGTGTGGGGGGAAGGGGGGAGGGGGAGGTGGAGTAATAGCATTTTCTGGGAAATATTTACATATGAATGTAAACATATACATATTTACGTAATATAATTGCAAATGTGATCAAAGCGACTGAATAAGTAGAATGTATATATACTTTTAATATCTTTAATTACAGTATTTGTTTTAGCAAGTGTATGTATGATCATTAAATAATGATAATGAGTAATAAACAATATTTGAAACCCAGCATCCTGTTATGTGCATTTTCGAAACGATTTTACGTATTAATTTTTGTGCGACGACCATACTCTGTCTTCCATCTTTTTTAGCATTACTTTTAACGGAACGGCCATCTGGCGTTTTTTACACCAATTAAAAATCATTGTTATTAATTACATGTTACATTTTTTCATTGTTCTATAATTTTTTAGTATTTTAAAACAGTATGTATATAGATTTACTCAATATTTTCTGAAAAAAGTAAAGAGAAACCAAAAAAATATTTAAAAAACGAAAGAAACACATTAAAATTACTGTTACGTAAGTTTTATTTTTTCGACACTGGGGTATAAAAATGACCGTTCTCGGATTAACTTTTTTAGCATTAAAAATAAATGAAATATATCTCTCTTTTTCCTCAATTATTCTATAAAGTTTAAAGTTTTATTCGCCTTGAAAATTGTGTCAAACATAATGTAAGATCAGACTGAAGTCGAGCGGTCGGTGCTGCAATTTCTACGACAGTAACATTTTCGTAAGAATTCTGTCTTGGAGACGCCATCTTCTTCTCCCTCTTTCTTCTCTTTCTTTTCCTCTCTCTCTCTCTCTCTCTCTCTCTCTCTCTCTCTCTCTCTCTTTCTCTCTCTCTTCCCTTTTCACCACGGCAAATTAAGCTTCCCAAAACACCGCGAAACTGTTAATTAAGACTCATTATGCGCGCTGCGGGGGATGGTTGCCCGGGATAGAAGGAAGGCCGTAGCGGAGGATGAAGACCACGAAGAAGCCGGAGCGAGGAAGGGGGGAGGGCAGGGAGCGGAGGAGGTTTAGACGGGGGTGGTTTAACCCGAGTACGAACTTCTTAATACCACAGCTGCAGTCGGGTTCATTGTGGGATCAATACGGGGAGAGCTCGTGGTAGTGGCAGGCCAAGTGCGATTGGCCCTGACAATCGGGCACGGCGATTGGCCGATGTTGGCACTGCCAGGAGGCGGATCCTACCGTCGCGGTCTCAACGTGTTGGGGTGATGGTAAAGGGGAAAGAGAATACCCGGCGTCAGCCGTTCCGCGCTCGAAAACGACGCGGCGACGGGGACGGCTCTAGAAAAAGACAGCGAGAGGTTCTATGGAGAGAGGGTGACACACGGTGTCGCGTACGGGGGGTTTCAGTCTGTGTTCACCCATGAGAGACACACCACTATCGGCGACACGCTCCGCTCACGTTGCGAGGGTGAAGGCTCGCTCCTCGTTCGCCAACCGGTCACATTCTCTCGTTCTTCAAGAGGATCGCCTGTCGTTTGCGTTGAATCTGAACGTGTCGCGATTGGACAATCGTGATTTTACCATTGAAGAGGACATCATCGAGAATAGACCTAATTTTTAGAAAAAAAAATAGTATAATTCGGATGAAACATATTGTAACACAAGTAGCGCGTGTCATTTTGAACCTCAGTTGATCTCGCGTCTGACACGCATGAGATGAAGTGACGAGAACGGTGACAGTAGTTACTAGTTAAGTGAAATGTCAATGAAGTGTTAATAAAGGAGAGAAATTATACATGTTTCATCGAGACGGTAAGCTTCATACGTAAATTGTGAGCACAACTGTAAATTGTGAACAATTGGAATTTGTTAAACTGAGTGATGGAGTCAAATTGTGCGCGTCATAGCAAGTGGTCGACACAACATTGAAATCAGTGACAATTGATCCAAATTAGAAAGTTTTTAGAAGGAAGATATCGGAGAGAAAAGTTTTGGGAAAAAAGAAAATGTTACGAAGATTAATTATTGGGAGAAAGATTGAAGAAGACTATCTTGGAAAGTAAGATAATATATAACAATAAAGAAGAGGAAGTGTCACACAAAAGGATTGCTATTAGATACCTTCATGTGTCTTGTCCATTTTTCGTGGAATCTTGAATCGGAGATATGTTCGACAATTTGACAAATTTAGCTGACGATAACTATCCGAATCTTTTTGCCTTCAATCGACGCGCTAATCGAGGGAAAAAGAAGAACGATCGATTTGTACAGTCTTTTCCATTGTCTCAGCTATCTCGAAGAATTATCAACGTAGTTTCGTGATTCGCTGTGATTTAGTGATTTACGTGAAAGAACGAATAAAACTATTCATTCTTTGCTAAACTGTTTATTGCTTACTATGATATACTTCGGTGCATTTTAATAAAAATGATCATTATTGTATCTAAACGAGAATATCTGAACAATGAAAGATTAAACATTTTTTAATAATAATATATTTATATAATATAAACTGCACTTGGATGAATGAGAAATCATAAATGATGATAAATATCGAGACATCGTCATCTTTGTGGGTTAATGCTGTATTATTTGATGAATCCTGAATCTTGAACGATTGCAAGCGACGTAAAAATTAAAAGAGTATAAGACTGTTGGTGCCAATAATACAAACTATCCAATTTTTTTTATAAACATCGTTAATCTAATATATCTGAGTGATATCTTTAGATCTTTAGAATATTTAAATTGAGATCGTATTATAAGCTATTGAAGAAACGCTAGAGTAAAGGTATCCGAAAAGAAAGCTGTTCGGCAATAATTATCATTGAATTATCTCGCTATCGCTGTCTGCTGCAGCATGAACCGTTATCCTTAGTGATGATCTAACTTTAGTGACCTTGGATGATCTCGGACGTTTGATCCGACCGCGGCGTGAGCCAACGGCGGAGTTGGAGGACGAGTTCAGGAGTGGTGTGGTTCGAAAGGGTGGTGCGACGTTCGGGTACGCAAGTCTGCAGGCCAGCTCTGGGGTGCCGGGCCCGGGCGGGGTGATGAGCTGCTCCGATGTGATGTATCAATATTATCCTTACATCTACCAGACCCATCGGCCACCGCCGCCGCATCCGAGCCACCCCCATGCGGCCCCGCACAACCACCCCCACGCTAATCCGCACGCGGCCCACCACAGCCCAGCCAGACCGGCGCCCTTTCAACCCTTCCCGGCGGCGACGGCGACGCATCAGTATGACAGGGTAAGTCGAGCTTCTTTTTTGATCTTGAGATGATGGGAGTTAATTCTGTTATCGGAAAGTCTGTTGATTATTAGGATTGCAAGACATAAGTAAATTTAAACTCGACAGATATCTTTAATGAGCAATAAAATCTCTAATGAATAGCAATAAGAGTAAGAATAATAATCATAAGTGATATGAAAATTTATAAAATTAATTCACAGTCAGTTTATAATATAACAGTAATATATATATAATCTCTTAAGATGGTAAAATTGCTTGAATACGTCAAAAGGTAAATAAGTAAAACGAGTTGATTATATTCGGCTACACTCGCTGATTAATTAATTGACCTAATGATACTGCGATATAGAATCTGTCGCTATAATAGATAAAGTAACAGATTGTGCGAAAATGCTAATAAAATGCGTTGCGACACCCAACATTTCGAAGGTGGTCCATTCACACATTTTTATAACCCCATTCTCTGTTCGCCTGTCCCCGGTACTTAAATCGTCCGAAGCAATTAAAAACAGACCCACGTTAGTCATTAAGTTAAGCACGTTTGGTAAAAAAAAAACGTAGCTATTTATAACAAGTTTTGCCTGTATTTTACATCGACTCTCTTCGCTTTTACTGCGAATGAATACCTACTCTTTACTGCCATATAAATTAAGTCAAGAAGATGACTTTATTGAGCAAAATATATTTATTTAGCTTACTATCAAAGGAACACTACAATAATCGAACTTTGGAGCAAGTTAAACACATTATGAAAAAAGATAAACATTATTTCAACTTGGTATTTCACATTTAGTTTATATAAACGTTTAAACTTTACTAACAAAAATTTTTTTTTAATTTAGATGGTTAGATTAAATTTTTGGATCTCTATGCTCCCTTAGTCCTTGAGTTTGCTTCGTGTTTAAGCTTGCCGACTCTAGATTCTCGGATCTTCGTATAGCGAATCCTCCGAGTTGTCGAATAACAAGTAGTCCCTTCGAATCACTCGATTCTCGATTTGTCGGTCCTTCACGGATGTCGCCTAGTAGCCTTTCCTAGAACTCCGAAAAACACCGCCGACGAAACAATATTTCGCTCAGCCTCGCGTATCCTGAAATAGTTTCGAGACGAGCAAGAAGGAAGAAGTTTTCGCGAGTAACGCGTGGAATCGTCTGTGCATCATTTTAATTTGTCTGCTGGGAGGTCAGGCGTGCTCCTGCCCTCGGCGAGCACCCATCCGTGCACCGTGGGGTGTCGAGCGCCGTTTTGCTATCTTTCCCGGGCCGCGCCGGTGGGAAAGTAATGTTCCTTTTTTCCAGCACCAACCTCGCCTAGGTAATATTAAACCGCTTGTAACTAGTGGTGCGCGCACCGAGAATATTCTTGAGAGCACATTCTCGGAAAACGAAGACGTTCTGAGAACGAGAATACTGTGAGAGAATTCTGAAACGGTAATATCTTTGAGATATTATCCGAGAGCCAATATATTTTTTAAGTATTGTTAAAGAATAAGAAGAATATATTTTTGGGAAAATTCATTTTACAGATTACAAATCATTGCGATTCATGAAACTTGAATCATAAGGGTTAAAAGGGTTAAAAGGGTAGAGAAGGAAAGAGAGGTTTGAAGATTTAGAACTATCGCGATTAAATATTCAAAATTTTTACAACTTCATTGTGTCATTTACACACTGATTACTTAAAAAAATATGATCGAAAAGTAAATTTAAGAATAATATATAAACTGGGTAGTTACATTCTGGTATCTCGTTTGATCTCAATATGCAAATGAGAGCCACTAAAATTTATCGACTGGAATACGAGAAGAGGAAAGAAAAGAAAGAAATGTCTTCTAGAAAGTAAAAGTTTCCCAGGATCTCGCAAAGTTGAAAATTTTTGTGTATCACGGAATAAGTGTAAGAATAAATTCTATTTAGAAATAATTTTAAATTGATGCAATTTTTGGATCTTACAAGTTTAAAACGTCCTTTAATTAAAAGTTTTCTTAATTCTGGCATATAAACGCACATATATTTCAACCGGTTATTTAAAAGTTAATTTTTAATTAACAAGAATTATTTATGCGATTAAACAAATCCGGCTCTCTCTCTCTCTCTTTCTGCAAGACGTATAGTTGTAAAGTATCGTTGGTCCATTTATCTATCAATCTTCCGGAGACATTGCAGAAATGTGAACGTTCCAACGTTCTCTTTTCTTTTGTCTTTCTCTTCCGTTCTCCGTGGTAGCGATCGCGAGATAACATCCGGCAAAAGCGTTAAGCGCGCGCGCGCGATACGAGCAAAGAGGAGCAAAGGAAGGAAAGCCGATCCCGACAGCCGGACAGGTTCTCCGCGAGGGGGTTCCCCCGAGGGAAGCGAAAGGATCCCGCGGATTCCCTGGCTCATATCCTCGGAGCCCGGGTAGTTCACGCGACCGCGGCAACATGAATTTACTTTTATTTAAATCTCTCTCTCTCCTTCCTTTTATTTAGGGCCCCCCGAGGAACCGGGAGGAGCCTTGCTCATTTTGTTCCTTTGCCGGCCTCCGCTCTCTGTCCCCCGGTCTCTGAATTAATAGCCGCGCTAGTGTTTTTCGCAGTGTGTCGGCCGCAGCGTCCCGCGCGCGTGTATATGCGTGCGCGTGCACGCGCGTACGAAAGCGCGTACCGACGTGACGCGCGTTAAAAATGCGCGTCGTTTTCTCACGAGACGCTCCGAAACCGCCGTGCTTTATCGTTCCCGCTCGCCTGGCCGAGTAAGAGAACGAGCGTCTCGTGGCATGGACCCCGCGCTCGCGAAGAATGATACACGAGGCATCGCAAAAACTGCACGATTCCTTTCGAACCGCAGGCATTAAAAGCCGGACTGAGAAAAATTTCCGGGACTTAAATAACGTGATAGTAGTATATAGCTTTAGATTTATCGTTAATCGCGAGTGAAAAAGGTTCGCTGATTAGTAAGTACTTGGTCTCTTTTTTTTTTAGCAGACAGTTTTATTTTCTGAAATAAAACGAAATTTCTCATTAGAAATAACTATGGAATCCGCTGATTGATGTCGACTGATGTTATTTCGTATAATATGAGGTTTGTAAAAAATTAGGCGACAGAAAGAAGTCCAGGGACTGGAGCGCGTACGATTCATCGGAAAAACACGTGTGCCAAGGGAGGGACAGGTGCTGGTCTCAGGAGAGGCTCGTAAGAACTTGGCTATCCTTCATTAGCACTCTCGTTACCCGACCGATGTTTCTTCTGCGCGCAGCGTACGCACATATGCGGTGACTATACCGTCGTATACGCGCAGTCTTGCACCATCGCTGCAAGTTATGTCACGCAATTTGTACTCGATCGGAGTCGATTAACGAAAATAGGGCTAACAAATGCGATAATCCAACGCAGCATAGCACGTTTATTTAAAAGCTCTTAGGTAACATCCTCATCGGCGCTATTTTGCAAAATTCGCAATATAAAAAATTTCGGATTCAAAGATCTGGTCTCGAAGGCTTCAGAGTCGGAGGAATTTGGTATCCGAGGAACTCGGGGGGCCCCCAAGGAGACGAGGATTCAAGCTATCCAGAATTCAAGGCATAGATTACGAGCGATTAGAATTCAAAGCGTCTAGAATCTAGGGCATTTAGATACACAGTACCTCGAACTCGTGTAATTCGTATAGTCGCATTCGTAGACTTCCGGCCGTCGGCCGGAGCGAAACCCCGAAACAACGTTGTGAAGTGTCGCGTTAATCGAATCCTACGTATAATTACCCAGTTCCCTTTCTCGAGACTTCCTCGGTAACGTTAATAAGCCCATCCGGGCGCTTCCCTCACGAAACTGGCAGAGAGACCCCGTAGCCGGCAGCGATCGAGAGAGAGAGAAAGAAAGAGAGAGAGAGAGAAAGAGAGAGAGAGAGAGAGAGAGAGAGAGAGAGAGAGAGAGAGAGAGAGAGAGAGAGAGAGAAGGCGAGAGAGAAAGGGAGAGCGAAGGCGAGATAGAGTGAGGAAGGGAGAGTAGTCGTAAAAGCGCATTTTTCTCGGGTATCTTGGCCGATTAATGAACCGATGTCGTCGCCAGGACCACCCCGAAGGATACGCGTACGGGACGCGCATCCCTCGCGAGATAGACCGACAGCAGTCCAGGACTATAATACCTAGCCTATAACCAGCTCCTGTCCGTCCTCCTAGCAGCAGGTCTCAAACGGACCGCACCTTTACCTGACCAAGTTTTACGATCGTCGCGCCGAGGTGGCGATGTGTCCTCGTGTTATCGTCCCGGCGGGATCTGTCCTGGCTAAAGCAGGCTCCTCTGCCATGACTTCTTTTATTATATTTCTCTTTCCTCCCTCTCTTTCTCCCCCCTCTTTTTCTTGCGTGTTCTTCTCCGCACTGGCACTGTGCCTCTCCTCGCGATTAACGAACGAAGGACACAACTACTTTGCGATCTGCAATCAGCGCGTTCATCAATTTGACTCATTGTACTGAATCAAATTCAAGGGAGGAAATATTGTAACAATAACGATAAGAAGCATCTATTTTTACTCATTTTTTATTTGTGTGAAGAAACGTTTAGAATAAGCGATAAAAGCGATTAGAAGTGCACTGTATAATTAAATAAGATCAATTTCACCAATCGTATACGCGGGTCGAACGCTTAGTCTTTATATCTCAGCAATCTCGACATTTCGAGTCTCTCTAGGATTTTTCTTAAAATCTTCTCAGGCTAAATGTCACATTTTTATGCATTGTATTCCGGCTGATGTGATTCACTTGACGCTTTTTCTTCCATAAATCAATTAATTACGAGGTCACCATCGGAACAATCGATCTACTTTCCAGCGGACTGTCAGTATGTCGTCAATCTTCCGTAATGTTGCCGCGTTTCAAGCTCTGGCATTCCCGTCGCATCGTATTAGGAGAGATCGACTACTACCGGCCGGTAATTTGTTGTTCTCGCTTCGCCGGAATAAATTTCCACCGGGGACTAGTTTCTCGGCCAGCGCCATCCCCCTGCGCTCTTAAGCGCGCG